GCAAAACTCCAGCTTATAAGTCAACAAGACCGCATAGGTGGCAGCACGAGCGGCATCGCAGCCCAATGGGGACAGCGTGGTGGCCGCGCAGCCCACCTGGAAGTGGCCGCAGCAGTACTCACCTGCAGTGCGCACAGCGCATCCGCATCCGCATCGCAGCGCCCAAGCAGCAGCAGATGCAGCGGCAGCAGGTGATGCCAGGGCTTCGGGCGCTTCTCGTGAGGCCAAGAGTCCATCTGATCCTACAGTCGCGATCGCTGCTGCATGCGTCCAACTGTTATACGGCATCTTCCTATCGGGGCCTTGTCGTGGTGGCAGTGGTACGGCTGGCAGCCCTTGTGCTCGGTGTGGCAGCAGTAGATCTTCTTGTGGTAGGACCTAAGCTTTCATGGCAAAAAACCTCTCAGCGGCGCCTCGCACCTCCGGGCACCTCTGGGCACTTCCCTTGGGCTGTGGCCACCCGTGCTCCCAATTGGAGTAGCCGGCGTCGCAGTCGTAGCCGCCTTCGCCCGCAGCATGGCCAACCACGGTGTGCACCACCTCGGAAGCCCCAAAGCCACGATGAAAATACGTTGCCTGTCTTGCCCCTCCCCCCCCCCTCCCAAGGCCCAAACGGTGTGAGCGTGCCACTGGCCATGGGCGTCGCCAGGACAGCCCAGATGGTCGTGTTCCTGTCCATTCCATCATTCGCAAAGCCCTTCTGTGTACAAGCCCGAAAAGGAAAGCAAGTATTTTCAAGCCGAGTGATCAAGGTCTTCGGTTCTATGACTTGCAGGCAAGATCAAGCAAGCGAGCCGGGGAAACGCAGCACCAGGACTTCTTGACTTTGGACCAGCCGTGGTACCAGTTGGACAAGCCGGCGTGGCAGTTCTCAGTTCAAGTCCCCCCCTGGTCCCTTCGCAAGCAGCCACTGCGGCCGAGCGGCGTAGTGCTTGTAGTGGTGCACAACCGTCACGACGTGGTCATGGTGGTGCCAGGATCCTGCTGACCATCCAAAGCCCTTCCCCCCAGTAGGCCTTTCATCCATGTCCTGGGCAGCCCCGCTGCTTATGGTCGCAGCACCAGTGTTTCCTGAGCCCCGTGCGCTCTCGTTTACGCTTCACCCGAAACTTGCCGACAAATTTAAACTCAGAAAAGTAGTAGGAAAGCGGCTTCGCGCTGGACCAGGTGTAGTACCACTTGTCAAAGTGGGAGTCACAGTCCTCAGGAGCAAGTGAAGAAGTGGCCCCGTCGTCCAGCAATGTTCCGCATCAGATTGCCTCATTTTATGTCATTTTGCGTGCCGAGCCGCATAG